AATCTAGCTTGCATATACTCTTGTTCGATGTTCGTACAAACCCAGTTCCTACTGTGGTCTTCCACCAAGTTAGTCATCTATGCCTCCAGATATCACATGAAGTAGATCCTCCCAAATCTGTTACTTGGTGTTGCCTACTTTGCCACTGGATATTACATGAGACAGATCCTCCCAAATCCAGTTAGCCGCTAAGCCAAATTGGTGTTGCCATATGACCTCATGTAACGAACTTACTCACATCTGTTTTGTTGATCTTTCTGTACTCAGGACTTATTCATATCTATTTTGCTGATCTTTTCGTATGCAGATTTCTTTTCTCAGATCAGACATTAACTAGTATGACTATCAAAATCTGTACTACTTCACCTAACTCGGGATTTCTACCATGCAGGTCTCCTGCCCGTAAATCCTATCAAGATTTATTCGTGTAATGTTATGCCTTGCTGAATGCCTTGTCACACTTCCAATACCCGATTGGCATTAGTGCAATGTGATTTACAGAGTTACAATTCCAGAAACAAGCAGAGTTTTACCGTAAGTTGGATACAGATATCTAGGTAATTATTCAATTCTGTATACAGTAGGATTTGAACCCTAGACCTCTTGCATGGTAGTCTGGTAACCTAACCACTATACTAAGATCGCCAAACCTAACAGATAATATCTTAAATATTAAAAAAAAAATTAATTTTGTAACACACAATATTAGAAGATTTAATAATCAGATTAAACACTAACAATAGATAATATATTACTTGTAGAATAATTTCTATATTATCTTAATTACTAAAATAAAATTAAAAAAATCTTTCTAATTATCACTAACTAATCTTATTTACAAAATCTTTACTTCTAACTATACTTCTGCATTAGATTAATAGAGAGAATTAAATCTTAGAACTATACTTATAGTTTATTTATTTTTTTTTTTTGTTATTAAGGCTACTTTCTTAGCTAATTAGATTTTATTAGTTTGTTATTATAGAACTATTACATGAATAGTTTCCTAAGGTTTTACAGTTATATGATAAGTGTACAACAAGCTACATGTACAACTTTAGTCATTATCTAATTTAAGTAGTCTACTATACAGATGATCGACTATCTGTTAGTTCTATACTATGCTACTATATCTGCAACCTATCTGTGAGTTATCTATTTAAACACTCTAATTATTAATCCTTTCTTTTATCTCAAACTAACGTTACCACTATAGCTGACTGCTTAAGCCAGCTGGCTCACTCACAGATTTATTTACTGCATGGCTTAGGTTCTCTTGGGATATGTATTTGCCCAACATATTGTAAGCACGCAGAGCTCCAGTTAATCTCAGAAGTAATTTCTACCAGAGTGGTTATGTACCCATTTCACAAATTTATCTAGATTAGACTCTTGTCGATATTTGTACAAACCTAATGAATTAAGAAAATTAACTCCTACAGAACTAAACTATCTAATTTATAAAAAGAAACTTCTAGTAATCATCTACATACTAAAGATCTAGTATATATACCTAGAAGGAAATACTTTTAAAGTTATAACTAACTACTAATTACTAAAATATCTACAATCTTAAGTAAAACTATTGTGAAGACAAGCCTAATAGGTTGAAACCTTCTAAGCATATGATTTTACTATTAAATACAAACTAGAAAAAAATAACATAGTAGCAGACGCACTATTAAGAAAACCCAAAGCAAACATAATAACAGAAGTCAGTATTAAAGAAGATATGTACAAAAGAATAAAAGAAGAATATAAAAAAGATACTTACCTCCAAAGAATTTTGAAAGCAATAAAAGATCCTCATTGCAAAGAAGCCAAATGATTAGAAAAACAGATAAGTAGATTCAAACTAAAAGAAAATAGATTACTGTTCTTTAAAGAAGGAATAGAAGAACAAAGATTATGTTTAGCAAAAGAATCTAAGGAATGAAAGCAATTATTAAAAGAAAGCTATAAATTAAATGAGTATTTCAAATTCAAAAAAACCTATAAAAGATTAAGAAGAAGTTACTACTAAAAAAATATGAGTAAAGATGTAAAAAAACACATGAGAAAATATGATAGTTGTCAGAGAAATAAAAGTTCTATGCAAGCCCCAGCAGAATTATTACAACCACTAGAGATACTAACACAATTCTAGAAAATAGTGTTAATAAACTTTATAATATATCTATCATAAACAAAAAATAAAAATGATTCAATAATAGTAGTAGTAGATAAACTAAGCAAGAAAGCACATTTCATATCTACTAGAAATTCTGTAACAGTAACTGAAGTCACCCAAATCTTCTTTAGAGAAATCTTTAAATATTACGAACTACCACGATTCATAGTTTCTGATAGAGACCCAAAATTTACCAGTAAATTTTAGAAAAGTCTTTTTAAAATAATAGGAACAGAGTTAAAGATATCAACAGCAGCACACCCACAAATGGATAGCCAAACAGAATGCACCAACTGAATTCTTGAAGAAATTTTGTATGTATACATGAACTACAAGCAAGACAATTGGAAAGAAATCTTACTTGCTGCAGAATTTTTATATAACAACTCATTACAAGGATTCACAGGTTATATGCTATTGCAACTAGACAATAGACACTATTCAAGAACACTAATAAGCTTAGTAAATGAAAGGATAAATGCAACGAACATGAAAGCTGCATAGGAATTGTTCGAACACTAGACTGAAATAATGAATGTAACAAAAGATTTATTAATAAATGCTTAAGAAAAACAAAGTGACCAAGCTAACAAGAAACGATGATACCTAGAATTTAAAGAAGGAGATCTAGTAATGTTAAACATAGCAAACCTAAACCCACAAGAAAGCAAGAAAAGACCATCAAAGAAACTTATTTCAAAATTCATGGGTCCTTTTAAGATTGTTCAGAAAATTTCAACAGTAGCTTACCAATTAGAACTTCCTAAAACCATGCGTATTCATCCAGTCTTCCATATATCCTCGTTAAAACAATATTATCCTAATGAAGACAAAGACACTACCGAATCAACCCAAGGTATCGCAAACGAGACTCCGGAAGAACAAGAAATCGAAGCCATATTAGACAAAAGAACCTACTACCATCGTCCACAATAGAGGTTGGATCCTTTGAATATCCATCATGACTACTCAGCAAATATTCACGGGTTTTGATGTTCATGAATAGCATT